TGTCCTCAATTTGCCGTGCGTTCGATGGTAAAATTTGAGGGAAAAAGTAGAACTTGCTGTTGTAGAAGGAGGAAATCTGGAGAGGAAATATGTTGCTGAAACTTATAAGGAAATTGTGGGCAAATTTCTTATCCTCTCCACCTTATGTATATGCCGTGAGGGAAATATTGGGGTGATGTATGACCCTCGTGGCCTTCTCTTTTCCCTATAAACTTGCCTTAATCTCATGCATAAATTGATGACTAATCAATCTCTAATGATGCCACGTGTCTTCCAAAAGAAATGAGGAGATTTGGTTTTCTCCATGAAAAGGAAAGCTCACGGCACTAAGGAAACAAAGAAATGCTACGACATTCTTAACGTTAATTAGGGACATCTTTCTAATGCTCACGACTTAATACCCTAACTATGTGATTAATTGCATATTAATCACTAAAAGGTGCTTAATTACTTAATCAATTATAATACCTAATTACCAAAATTATTTCGAACGTAAACAGTACGTCGAAAATAGATTTCGGTAATCTTGACTGAACTTAATTAATTCCGAAAATAATAAACGATAACACTATTATATCGGAATTAAACGTAATTTATACCGATTAAAATATCGGGCTATTACATAAGTGCAACACCAAATGCGACCCGAATGAGGCTCGCCGCATCCAATCGCTAAAACACCGGCGAACTAGGACAGGCCAGACCGACGCCATAGGCAATCCGCGGCAACAAACGGAGGCTTGGAGCAACCGAGGATGGGCGGCTGTTGAGCGCGACCATCAGCTGGCGCCGCGCCGCCACCGAGGAAGGCAACGCGAAGCTTGAAAGAGGGCGAGAACGGATTTAGGGATTTGGGCGAGAGAGAGAGAGTGTGTCTATGTCACAAGCTGCCTAAGCCTAAGTTGTGTGAGAGTATAAAAAAAAATTACCAATCTATTCAAACTGCACAATAATATTAGACTAAATGCACATCAATTTATATGATAGTGCACATTATTAATTTCGATATTATATATATTTTGTCCTTTTAATCAAGAGTAATATTAAATATCAAATATAAATATTAAAATATTAAATATAACTTTATAATATAAATGAAATCATTTCGATAACCGAATTAATTTTTTGTGGTTTCAGTTTAATTTATGCTTTATTTTTAAAATGACCGAATTGATTAAACTATATAAACAGTTTGAAGTCATCTCCCGTCTAAATTGGATCGCCGAACCCTATCCTTTTTTTCTCTCCTTCGCTCGCCTTCGCCGATCCGTGTTGTCCTGCCTTCGTAACGGCGATTGAGTAGGTGTCGATGGTCGGCTCTCGGTTACCCGACCCTCACCCTTTGAATCACGCCTCCTCCTGCTATTATGCCTGTGGTTGCAAACGGATTTCAGCTGGTCGGCTGCGCCGATTTCTGCTCAATTCGAGGGCTTCCCGGACAGAGGTGGCAGTGGTTGGGCCGATTTTTGTTTGGGTGGGGGATGCCTCGGTCTTTTGACGGCTTCGGCGTCGGATGGCTAGAGCTCTGCCGTGATTTTTTGCCCTTCTCCTTGTCTCCGTCTAAGGAGGACTATTGTTCCGTCTCCGGCCAGTGGTGTTGGACGGGATGGTGCGGTGGTGGGCAGAGATCGTGGTGGTTCCGGGTGAGTCGGGGGTTGAGCAGGCCGCCTTGACATCTTTTCGCTTCTCCTTTTAATTTCCATGTTCTATGGTTCGGGGGTCACCAGGTCTGTCAGGCTTGGACTCACTAGTGGTGTTAGAGAGTTCGGGATAGTGGCGGTTCCCGAGCGGATTGGTGCTGCGGTGGTGGTTCGTGATTGACGTGGAGTGCTATTTCAGGGCTTGGACTTTGTCTTCGCTAGGCCACCGAGTTGGTGTTGGGCAGTTTCGGAGCGGGTCCTCTTGGCTGTGGGATGCACTTTGGGTTGATTGGTTTCGTTGGCTCCGCTTGGTCATGCCGATTGGGAAGGGCTTTTGTTTGTTTTGATTGTTCTTTCGTCTGTTTTTTTTGTTTGTTTAGTTAGGTCTCGTTGGTCTCGGTGATGATTCTCCTGTTGAGAGCTTAGGATTTATTTTAGTAGTTTTAGTTGGTGTTTTGTTTTTGGATTCTAGTGTTGCTAGCGTCGGATTTAGGCGGTCTTCTGACCAGTCCTCCCAGTTTATTCAGCTTTTGGCTGCGGCTCTAAGTTGTAATTTGCACATTTGTGCGTTTTGTTCTATATAATTCTCTATCGTTTCGGAAAAAAAAAAAGATTAAACTATATAAACATATTTCCTAATTATATTTTAAACTAACATAAATAAACGAATCAAGCGATCCAAATAAAAAATTATTTTTCTCATATTTATATATATACACAATGTCCTCATAGTAAAAAATAATATAAAATATTAAAAATAATAATAAAATTCTAAAAATAAATTTTTTTAATATAAACAATAAATTTATTTCGATTAATTAGGTTAATGCAATTAACAGACCGAATAATTTGATTAATTTGGCTCGATTTTTTATTTACAACAAAAAATTAGTCCGACCGATTTCTTTCCAACACTTCGACTCAACTATTTCGGTTTGACATTTCGTTTGATCGGACGGTTTGCTGAACCGTCAAATGAACAGCCCTAAGCGCAGTAGCAATTTGATATATTTGTGAACATTTAGGTAGTGTTTGGTTCAAGGGATTTGTAAGGAAGGGGAGGGGAGGAGATTTTTTATATTTCCTTTGTTTGGTTTGTAACTTATTTGTAAGGAAGGGGAGGGGAGGAGATTTTTTATATTTCCTTTGTTTGGTTTGTAACTTACGAGGGGAGGGGAGATGAAATTTTAAGTCAAAATCTCTCCTCTCCCCCAATTTTGCTCCCCTCCATAAGTGGGGGAATTTGGAGGTAAGGAAAACTTTAAATTTTACAATTACTTTTTTTTCCCCTTCATTTTTCTAACCAAACAAAGTTTACCATTTTCCCTTCACTCATCTCCAACAAAATCATCCAAGCAAGGTAAAATTATTTTACATCACCATCCCTCCCCTCCCCTCCCCTCTCTTTCTTTCCATTAAAATCTCTTCCCTTTGCTTCCCTCAGTTAAACCAAACATAGCCTTAAATAGAAGTCGGTGACGATTCTATAATTTTATATAAGTATGACGGGTTTATTTATGTGCATGACGTAAAAAATTTGTGAAATTTAGACTGTTTATGCGGTGTCACTTCTATTATTTTATAAGAAAATTCCATATCAAGCAAGCAAAATTATTTTTGTGCAGAAAAATCATACTATTTCATTTAAATACAAACTTATATATATAAATTTAAAACAAAAATACGAAAACAAAATTGAAATAAATTGGTGAGGTAATATTCAAACACTGCTATCTGGCGTGCCACGTGAGGAGATAAACTTGTATGCACGGCGAATTACGCCACACGCTGGAATGTAACCTCAGAATCTCCGTCGCCTTCTTCTTCAGATGCGCCGCGCAGTCCGCCTGCAGAACCATACATAGCTTCGTCACCCCGCCAACCCTCAGCATTTCCGCCACCACCTCCGGCGCCGCCGCGAACCTCGCCACGGCGTCCACCACGCACAGGATCCGGTCGTCCGCCGCCGGCGACACCCGCAGCAGCCGCTTCGCCGCCAGGGCGACGCTGCCGGCGTGCCCCAGAAGCTGCTGCCGCCCGTCCGCGCACGAGCACAGCTGCGCCAGCAGGCAGAACACCAGCTCCGTCGTCCTCTTATCCGCCGGCCCCGCCAGCTCCATCTCCACCAGCTCCACCACGGCCCCGGCCTCCACGATCTTCGCCCGGTTCCTCCCCGCCGACGCCGCCACCACCAGGATCTTCAAAGCCGACCTCGCCGCCGCCGGGGAGAATCCCCCCCTCAGGACCTTCACAATCCCGGCGAAGAACGAGGGCTCCAGCCTCTCTAAGTGGACCGACCCGGCCATGACCTCGGTGAACGTTTTCAAAATCGCGAGCGCCAGGGTCTTTCCCGCGCAATCCAGTCTGGAATTGAGGATCCACAGAACCGAATTGACGAAATTGTTGGGGTAG